AAATAAATAAAATTAAAAAAAAAAAAAGAAGTTAATCAGGGAGTTACTGCTGGTTTATGATGTCCTCATATTCAAAATGCAGATGATTCTGAGCTTATTTTTGTTTTGTTTTGAAATGATTCTTATGATGGGGTTATAGTGTAACACATGTATTTGTATTATTCTGTTGCCCATTGCTAGGACTACACCTGGCATACACAGTTTATTTATTTATTCCTTTTGAAAATTTATTGACAGTGCCATCAACAATAAAGCATTCTTTCAGTTCTTATGAAGTTTCTGTTTTAAAGATTGTCTTTCAAAAGTGCTTACAAAACAGCAAGACATCACTAAAGCACTTAGAGTCAAGTTTTCCAATAAATCATTTTAATACCTACCTTTCTATGGAATTACAATAGCATTACCATCATAGTATTTGTTTGGGCTTTTTTTTTTGGTACTGGGAATTGAACTCAGAACCTCTCGCATGCCAGGCAGGCACTGTGCCCCTGAGATATATCCCTGGCTCGCAGTATTTGTTTTTATTAAAATTAGTTCTTTCATTACTAACAAATTTTGGTTTTTTAATACAAGTAGCCCCCTTATCCAAAATATGGGACCACCCAGAGGCAGAGACACTCGCCTTCTAATCCCAGCACTCAGAAGGCTGCAGCAGGAGCACTGCCGCCAGTGTGAGGCCAGCCTGGGCCACTATGCAGTGGGTGGGGGGCAGCCTGCACTGCACAGGAAGACCCCCTTTCAACAGCAGCACAAATTAGGCCCTCAAGTATTTCCGAAGATGTGCATACACATATGTGATATTTCAGGCATGGAATTGCAGTCTAAGAATGAAGTTCGGGGCTGGAGAGATGGCTCAGTGGTCTAAAGCACCTACTTAGAACAAGCTTAGCAAAAGCATCAGGGACCGCGGTTCAATCCCCCAGCACCACATGCCAGCCAGCCCTGCCCCCTGGTGGGCTGAGCTGGTCAGCCAGCCCTGCCCCCTGGTGGGCTGAGCTGGTCGGTCTCTCTCTCTCTCTCTCTCTCTCTCTCTCTCTCTCTCTCTCTCTCTCTCTTTCAAATAAATTAAAAAAAATTAAAAAAAAAAAAGAATGAAATTCATTTACGTTCATGAAGGCAGTAGGACGCAGTAATCTTCATAGTGTTATGAGCCACAGTTGCATGGTGTATTTTCCACTTAAGCCATCACATTGGTGCTCAAAGTTTTGGATTTTAGAGCATTTTGGATTTGTGGGTTAGGGATGTTAAGTCTACTACACCATGGCAAAGTGGAAATGCGATTTTTATTATTATTATTATTATTATTATTATTATTTTTGGTACTAGTGATTGAACCCAGGTCCTACCACTGAGCTACATTCTTGGTGTAACTTATTAAATTATTTTGAGATAGGGTTTTCTTCACTTCCTAAGTTGCCCAGGCTGGACTTGAACTTCCAGAGCATTAGGAAGTTCTCAGCCTCCCAGAGCACTAGGAGTACAGAAGTTGTTACTATACCCAACTCAAAATATAATTACTTTAAAAATTTTGTTTCATCTTCTGTGCACTATTTGGTATAAAAAATAGCATCTGGTTCCAAGTGTCCTTGTCTGCAGACACTGTACTGCAGACAGTTTTCATTTTTGTAACATCTCCAGTGTACAACGCTAATTGCTAAGCTCTTCCTCGTCACTGAAGTATGCACTCTTCTTTATCCTCCGGTGCTGCGAATCCTCAGAGGTCGAAGGGCCCGGCATTGACTTTCCATTTGTTTTTCTTCCATCTTGACTTGCTGGCAGGCGATGGCTTGGCTGAGGCTGTCCAGAGTGGGGTCCTCGCCATCACCCTTGCTTCCTGCTGTGTCCTCGATTTCTTCAGGTTCGGCAGTTTTCTTTTTTTTCTTTTCTTTCTTCTTTGGAGGCTCACTTTCCCCAAGCATATTCTTTGGATAAGTGTAACTTAGGTTTAACATTTAGATTTATCAAAGTAGTTTTGCCTTCAAATAAATACCGCTGCTCTTCCATTGTCAGTAGCCTTTATCACTCTACCAGATAATTGTTGTTTATGGCTCTGGTGCAGCTTCTTGCAGAGTCTTTATCCAAAAACAATATAAATGCCACTCCTTTACTCTTCCTCATGTCTTTGTCTTCCATTATAATAACCCCGGGATAAGTTGTTGTTTGTCAGGGAGAAGGGCAAGTTGGGCACATACACTGTGCTCTTACTCAGAGCCAGGCCACCACTCATTTCTTCAGGCAGGGCGACCTAGACAGGGCCGGTGCCAGAGCAGGGGTTCCTGGGTGGCTGAGGCAGCCACTGTGCATGTCGTGGCTCCCTTCAGTCCCTGACATACACAGTTTAAAGCAGAGGAGGTTTACTGTTAGTTTTTTGAGGTTAGCCTCAAACTCATGATTCTCTTTCCGCAGCCTCCTGAGTGCTGGGAGTAGAGAGGCAGAGCACCACACCCAGCTAATAGGCTTGTTTTGGCTCACAGTTAAGAGAGGTTTCGGTTCATGATTAGCTGGCTCCAAGGCAGGAACATTGTGGCAGAAAAGGTCATGATGAGAAAAGCTGCTTACCTGATGGCAGCCCGGAAGAGGAGAGGAGAGACATGCGGTGCAAAGGCACATGTGACCAATCTCCTGCCGCCAGGCTCCGCCTCTGCATTGATGCATGGGGTCTCCAGGGGCACTTCCTGTTAAACCATAACACTATCTTTAACTGAAAATACCTTTCAGTGGAAAATGCAGTTACTACCAGTAACTATCAAAGCTTAAACATGGGGCTGGTGAGATGGCTCAGTGGTCTAAAGCACCTACTTAGAACAAGCTTAGCAAAGCACAGAGACCGCGGTTCAATCCCCCAGCACCACATGCCAGCCAGCCCTGCCCCCTGGTGGGCTGAGCTGGCCACACACACACACAAAATAAATAAAAAAATTTTTAAAAAAGCTTAAACATGCTCAGAAATACTTAAGTTACCCTCCAGTTTGGCAGTCATAGACACATGCATATTTTATAATAAAATGTGAATGCCTTCTTGTACTTGAGCATGCTTTTGTATCCTGCTGCCTGTGAACAGGAAATAATTTGAAGTTACTATGTATGGCTTCTACATTATCATAAGTTGAAAAATCAAGTCATGGAGTAAATTCTTTCTGAAAACCCAGTTGAAACTGCAACATTTGATATTTTTCTTTTAATGTTTTCTGAATGAATATTGTGGTTAAATTTCTTTGAAGTACCAGAAGCTATAGGATTAAAATTAAAGTAGTAATGTTTTGTTTCTTAGAAGCTATAAAAGCTTGGCAAGCATTACTTATTAACTTACTTCTTCCTTTTTGTGTATGTTACATTGTAGCACACTTCACATGGTGATGGGCGGCAAGAAGTCACCTCCCGTACTGGGCGCTCTGGAGCTCGATGTAGAAACTCAATAGCTTCCTGTGCAGAAGAACAGCCTCATATAGGAAACTACAGACTGCTAAAAACCATCGGCAAGGGCAACTTTGCAAAAGTGAAATTGGCGAGACACATCCTTACAGGCAGAGAGGTAACTGTGAATCTGTTATGACATACGTTTATTTCCATGTGGGAGGAAGAGGATATGTATTTGGGATTATTTCTAAGCGAATTAATTAATTAATTAATTAATTTGCTCCGAATGCCTTCAGGGCAGGTTTGGCTGGCTTGAGTTGTGGGGATTGAACCACAGCAACCTGAGCCTGACTGCTTTGTTGAAGCAGCCACTTAAAGAACTGAGTTAAGGGGCAGGCCCCCAAATTTATTTTATTTTATTTTATTTTATTTTATTTTATTTTTAAATATTTATTTATTTATTTATTTATTTATTTAATGTGTGGCCAGCTCAGCCCACCAGGGAGCAGGCTGGCTGGCATGTGGTGCTGGGGGATTGAACCACGGTCCCTGTGCTTTGCTAAGCTTGTTCTAAGTAGGTGCTTTAGACCACTGAGCCATCTCACCAGCCCCCAAATTTCTTTTAAAATATTGTAAAACATACTATTTGCCAGGCATGGTGGTGCATACATAGAATTATAGCACTTGGGAAACTGAAGCAGGAGGATTACTTCAAGTGCAAGGCCAGTTTAGAACCACATAGTGAGACCTAGTCTCAAAAAGCTTTCATTAATGTAAAGGGATTTTTTTGGTTTTTTTGTTTGTTTGTTTTTGGCAGAACCAGAGATTGAACTAAGGCCCGTGCGCTTGCCAGGGAAGTGCTTATTCTACTGAGCCATCTCCCCGGCCTCTAATGTAATGTTAATAATAAGTCAGGGGTCAGGGGATGGCGCAGTAGAATAAGCGCTTGCCTGGCAAGTGCAAGGGCCTGAGTTCAATCCCCGGTTCTGCAAAATAAATAAATCATAAGTTTCTCTCTCTCTCTCTCTCTCTCTCTCTCTCTCTCTCTCTGTTGCCCCCCGCCATGTGTGTCTGTCTCTGTCTTTCAAACTGAGAATTGAACCCAGGGCCTTCATGTTAAGCTACACCCCCAAGTTCCTTTTTATTTTTTGAGACAAGTCTCATTACATTGTCCTGGCTGGGCTGAAGTTGTGAGATCCTCCTGCCTGAGCCTGCATGACGACTAGGATCATAGGTATATGCCACATATTGAGTGAATAATCTTTACCTTTTAAAATGAATAGTGTATTCTTTTTCAGTAGAAAATATCTGCCACCATGATAAAAATTGTCTTGAATTTCATTCATGCAATTTTAAGTATGAGCTTCTGGTAGTTAAGCTCAATAGTTTTTTGTTCTTACAGGTTTATTTCCTCATCTCCCTTAAAGTACTTTTGGTGACCCATATTTGTTGGGAGAAGAAGGAAGGCATATTTTTCCAGCTTTTGCAGTATTGGTTTTCTGCTTAACAGCATTCTTTATCAAAAGTAATTCATTAAAACTGAAATGAGCTCCATCCTCACACTCTTCTTGTGGGGTACAGAACCTTGTTCCTACTTTGCTGTAATTTCTTGCTTTTATTTAAATCTTGGCACTTGCTGTTGTGGTGATTGACGTATTCTTAGCCTTTCTATGTGGACATGGATTCTGGAAAGTATTCCTTGACAGACATCCCTCTTTAGGCATGGGGCTCATCACATATGCCGATATAGTACGTCCTCTCGTATAGTACACAGTGCATTGGAGTTGGCAGGTGTGCGTTCCCGTTTGCCCTTGGTCTGGACAGGAAGATCGTCACACCTGACAGTGCTTGACACTTTCTGGGTGCTTAGTAAATGCTTGTTAAGTGACTACTGTAGCACTATGTGAAGAAGCTTTTTAGAGAAATGCTGTCCCTGTATGGGACCCTTCTGACACTTGTGCCAGCACTGTGTGACAGGTGTGACATGACAGTAATGCCTGCAGCCCATAGGCCAGAGCTGCTGGAGCAGGAGCCTGGGCTGTCCTTCAATTAGCTGGTGGCCTCTGTGTGCTAAAGTGAGCTCTACAAACATTCTTGGATTTGTGTGTTTTGGGACTTGGAAAAGATTGGGAAGCATTGGTCTGCACTACCTGGTATTTTAAGACTTAATGAAAAATTTATCTCTTTATGATCATCTCAACTTTAGTGAAGAATTCTCTTACGGTTTCCTGTCAAGATTCCTTGTTGAGATGCCTGCAGTGCTTTTAGAATCTGTAAACAGTATGAGTGGGTATAGCAGTCCCTATTGTGCTTGGTCAAAACTTTCTTGAGTTAGGAAACAAAACCCCTAAGTTTAAGCTAGGCCTGGGTGGCTCACATCTGTACCCCTAGAGTTTGGGAGGCTGAGACAGGAAGATCTCAATGAATTTGAAGCTAGCTAGGGTTTCATAGTGAGTTCAAGGCCGACCTAGAACTCACTATCACTATAGCAAGACCCTAGATAGGAAGACCCTGTCTCAGGCAAATCAAAAACCCCTCTGGGTTTAGTTCTACTATATTGTTGTATGTTAACAATTTTGACCCAAAATGGTGTCTTTTTCCCTCTGGGAATTGTAGAACCAGTAAGTACCAAGTGCCAGTTGAGCAATAGGGGAACTTTTATTCCTGGCCAAGAGTGGGTAAAGTGGGAGATAGACTTGCTGACCATCTTGTAGACCTGTTAATGGTGAAGAGGTGTAAGAAAGGGGTGAGGCTGAGGCTGATAATACATTCTCATCTTTTCTGGAATGGCTGGATATTGTCCAGGATTCAGGATGCTGCCTCTTTTCTTCCCACTTGTTCTTTTTGGCTGTCATGGCAGTTGTCAACTGTCAGCATTAGGAGGGTGTCATTCATCACATAGATGATTTTTATAATAAAGTTAGAGGTTGCCTGGGAATCACTCAGAGAGCTGTCTCTGTTTTTGTTATTTTAGGAGGGTGGTTGGATGCTTTTTAAGGCAGGGTCTCAGTAGGTAGTGCAGGCTGGCCTTGAATTCACTTAGGTAGCCAAGGCTGGCCTCAGAATCACAGTGACCCATCTAACTCATCTGCCCAAGTATGGGATTATAGGCATGCTAGGTGTGCAGCAGCACCACTGCTGGCTTAGGGTGTCTATCTGTTGATCCCCCACCAGTTTCAAGAAGCCTACTTGAAGAGGAACCTCTGGCCTCCAAGCATTGTTTCCCCAAAGTTAATCAAGATTAAGACTTAAGTCAAGTAGGCAGACGTTAGCATGGGTGACACTACCAGAGTAAATGGGTGTCTTTTCCTACACTATTGCTGCACTGTGTAGGTAAGTTTTATCAGGTTATTTTAGTCTGTTTTTGCTACTATAAGAGACTACCAAAGACTAGGAATTGAAGACAAAGCTTTATTTCTGGTAGTTTCTTAGTTACTTTCCCCTTGTTGCTGAGACAAAATTCCTGACACCCTAAATTATGGAAGCAAAGGTTTATTTAGCTCACAGTTTGTAGAGGATTCAGTCCATAAACAGTTGGCTCTGAGGCAGGATTTCCTGGTGAGGGGCAATGCTCAAGGAAGCAAAAGACAGCAAAAGCAACAAGAGCGAAGGGTGTGGGGAGCAAGCCTCTTTTCTTAACTTATATATCTTATGCCTCCTGCCCTCTTCCACAAGCTCAGTATGTTTACAAAGTAAGGACCCTGGCCTCCTGTGGAGTTAAACTTGAACTCCTCATGTTGACATACTCTATCAACCGTTAGAGTTCTGGAGGCCAGGAAATCAGTATAGATTTCATAATAGAAATCCATCCTTTCATGATGGACCGTACCCTTGAGAACAGCTTAGTCCATTCACTTCACAACTCTAGGGAATTGTCTTTTTCTTTTATTTAATTTTAAAATCTTTACTTTCAAATTCTTTGTTAGCCAGGTATGGTGGCACAGACCTATAATCTTAGTTCTAAGGATGCTGAGACAAGAGGATCTCTGAATTCAAGGCCAGCTGCACTACAAAGTTGAGATACTATATCTCCCCCCCCCAAAAAACCCCTTTTTGTTAACTGTTTCTTTTTGTAGGACCTTGCGCATAGTAAGCAAGTGCTGTGCCACTAAGCCACACTTCTCCTTGGCCTTCTTGAAGTTCTTAATATTCAAAGACTGAGTTCTTTTTTTTTTTTTTTTAATTTTATTTATTTATTTGTGTGTGGGGGGCAGCTCAGCCCACCAGGGGGCGGGGCTGGCTGGCATGTGGTGCTGGGGGATTGAACCGCGGTCCCTGTGCTTTGCTAAGCTTGTTCTAAGTAGGTGCTTTAGACCACTGAGCCATCTCCCCAGCCCCATAAAGACTGAGTTCTTGAATACAGTTTTGAATTATATTTTTTTCTATAAGGCTTTACTTTGTAAGAGAGCTTTAATTTTTGGTCCAGTCTTTGTGAGACAGATGTGTTTGTGTTGTTCCCCTACATCTAGCTCATTATTCCATTTGTTTTCATCTGTTGTTACTGTCTGTGGCATCCAGTTCTGGTATTGTGGATGCTATTTCTTCTGTTGACTCCCAGGAGATAATGAAATTTGTTTTCTATTTTATAAAATAGATTTTACTCCCTGCTAAAGCGTCTCTTGGGGGCCGGGGAGATGGCTTAGTGGAATAAGTGCTTCCCTGGCAAGCACAAGGACCTGAGTTCAATCCCTGGTTCCACCAAAAAAAAAAAAAAGCTTCTCTTTTCTTTGATTTTTGTTTTTATTTTTATTTTTTTCTTTCCTAGAGGCTTTCTTTGGAAATCTGGTAAACTCTGGTTGTCTGTGTGTTTAAGGCGGAGCCTTGCAGAGTTGCTCAGAAGCTGTGTTTGCATGCACAAGGACCTGCACAGCCCAGAGTTTGCCTAGTGGGAGTTGTCCAGTGCTTTGAAGCCAGATGCTTGTGTCTTTTGGTTGCTTCTATGGGACTTTTGGGGTATTCTAAATGACAATCCCTCTGTCTGGCAGAACTGGTTTTCCTAGTACTTAGTGACACTGTTTCACTTAATCCCCTCTTTCCACCCTGATGCTCTACTCCTGTGTACCCCAAGTCAGAGGCTTGTTGGTTTTCACAGAATGAGTTTCCAGCCCCATAAGAATCAGCAGTACCTGCTAAGTCAGTGAGCAGCAGACTTCCTGTGTAACTTTGGACCTTATG